ACTCCCCTCCTCATGGCATCGGCTTGGGGGAATACAATAGCTGCACTCTCTGGACTCCCTGTCACCCCACCATATGGAGGTCATACCTTGCTAGAAGTCAGTTGCTTGGGCCAGGGTTTAGAGGTCTGGGCAGACTCAGGAGGTATCAGTGACTGAGTGGTATGGCTCTGGGGCAAGGTCATTCCCCCTCAAAGGAGATTCTCTAGTCCCACCCTCCAGGTGCAGCCACCTGCCAAAGTCTGGGCAAAATCCAGGACTGAAAGAATTGTGTGGTTCTGCAGTGGAGGGTCATTCCTCCTACCTCCCCCCAAGCCTGACCAGCACCTACCCTCCATAGGAGATCAGCTAGCCCCACCATCCTGAATCCCAGCGGCCTCCTAACATAATCTTGGACACACTGAGTGGTGAAGGAATTTCATGCAAATGGAAATCAAAAAAAGCTGGGATAGCAATACATATATCTGACAAAATAGACTTTAAAACAAAGGCTATAGTAAGAGACAAAGGAAACTGCATAATGATAAAGTAGGGGCGGGGAATCGGTTTTTTGCCGAGGGCCATTTGGATATTTATAACATCATTTGGGGGCCATACAAAATTATCAACTTAAAAATTAGCCTGTTATATTTGGTCAGACATTTCATTAACTCACCCCTAAGGCCTTGGCAGACAAAATGATTTCTTAGGCCTTATATAGCCTGTGGGCCAGACATTCCCCATCCCTGCAAGGGAACAATCCAGCAAGAATATATAACCCTTGTAAACACTTATGCACCCAACATAGGAACACCTAAATAAATAAAGCAAATCTTAATGGACATAAAGGGGGAGATCAATAGTAATACAGTCATTGTAGGGGGTTTTATCATCCCATTGACATCAAGAGACCTTCAAGACAGAAAATTCTCAAGGAAACAGTGGCCTTCCATGACACACTATATCAGATGGGTTCAATTGATAGCTTCATCACAAAAGAGCAGAATATATATTCTTTTTAAAAAATTAATCTTTTTTTTTTTCTTTTTCTTTCTGGGCCAACAATTCTTTTGAGTCCCAATTTCAATGTCAAACAGTTCCTTATGTGTACACGTCAGCCATGGTATTTCAGATCTGGTTGGTGGACAAACGGTGGTGATGCAGGTCCGACTGTCTCTGGTTTGGTCCTGGGTATCCTTCAGCGACACGCAGCTGCTGTCTGCTAGTATGGCAAGGCGTTGTCAGCATCTTCCATCTCTGGACTGTTTCTCTTCTGTCTTCATGGTTGGAGCAGTCCTTGTTGACAGTATTACAGATGTCCCCCTTTTCCCCTCATTGACCCCTCCTTCCTCCCTTCCCCCCTCTCCCCAGGCCTTTACTGCACTATATTGTCTGTGTCCATGGGTTATACATATATACATATAAGTTTTTGGTTAATCTTTTACTGCCCTTCCCTTCCTTCTTTTCAAATGCACATGGAACATTTTCGAGGATAGACACATGTTAGAACACAAAACAAATCTCAGTAAATTCAAGACGACTGAAATCATATCAAATATCTTCTATGTCCATTATGGTATGAAACTAGAAATCAATCACAAGAAGAAAATTGAAAAACACAGAAAGACATGGATGCTCAATAACATGTTAATAAACAATGAATGGGTTAACAATGCAATCAAGGAAGAATTCAAAAACTACCCTGAAACAAGTGAAAATGAGAACACAACAACCCAAAATACATGGGACACAGTGAAAGCAGTCCTAAGAGGGCAATTACATGCCTATCTCAAGAAATACAAAAAATCTCAACTAAACCACCTAACTTTACAGTTAAGGTAACCAGAAAAGGAATAAAAAATAAATAAATAAAATAAAAACCAAGCCCCAAGTGAGTAGAAGAAAGGAAATAATAAAAATCAGAGCAGAAATAAGTTAAATAGAGTTATTCCGGGAATGCAAGGTTGGTACACTATCTGCAAATCAATAAATGTTATACACTACATAAATAAAATGAAGGCTAAAAAGCACATGATCATATCAATAGCTGCAGAAATTGAAGAAAATATAAGTGGAAGCATATATCATGTTCATAAATGGGAAGAATTAACATCATTAAAATGTCCATACTACCCAAAGCAAGATGTAGATTTAATACAATTCCTATCAAGATACCAGTGTCATATTTTACAGACTTAGAACAAATGTTAGAAAAAATTATATGGAACCACAAAAGATCCCAAATAGTCACAGCCATCTTGTGAAAAAAGAACAAAGTTAGAGGAACCCCGCTATCTGATATAAAACTATACTACAAGGCCAAAGTAGTAAAAACAACAGGGAACTAGCATAAAAACAAACATATATGTAGATAAATGAAACAGAATAGAGAGCCCAGAAATAAACCCACACCTTTATGGTCAATTAATATTTCACAAAGAAAGCAAGAATGTGCACTGGGGTAAAGATAGTCTATTCAATAAATCGTGTTGGGAAAACTAAACAGATACATGCAAAAAAAAAAAAAAATGAAACTAGACAACCTTCTTCCACCATACACAAAACTAAACTCAAAATGAATTAGAGCCTTAAATGTAAGACTTGAAATTGTAAAAATCCTAGAAGAAAAAAATATAGGCAGTAAAATCTCAAATATTTCTTGTAGCAAAAATTTTTCCAATATATTTCCTCAGGCAAAGGAAACAAAAGAAAAAATAAACTAAAAAGTTTTTGCATAGCTAAAGAAACCATCAACAAAATGAAAAGACAACCCACTGAATGGGAGAACATATTCACCAATTAATATATATCTGATAAGGAATCAATACCCAAAATTTAAGAGTCTCATGCTATACCGACTGAGCTAGCCGGGCACCTAATACCCAAAATTTATAAATAACTTATACAACTCAACTCAACTCAACTCAACAACAACAACAACAAAAAGCCCTAAACAATTTAATTTAAAAAATGGGAAAATGACCTGAATTGACACTTCTCCAAAGAGGACATACAGATGGCCAATAGATATATGAAAAGATGCTCAATATCACTAATCATCAAAGAAATGCAAATTAAAACCACTACCATGTTTCCCCGAAAACAAGACATCCTCCGAAAATAAGACCTACTTACAGGTTTCCTTCTGAGTGAAATATAAGGCATCCCCCCTGAAAATAAGGCCCCCCAGGCTCTGTCTCAGAATGCTATGGCTAAACGTGAGAGATTTGGTTCGCTGATTCTGAAAGAAATGGAGTCACAAGAAATTCACCAGGAAATTCAGGAATTGGATTGTTATGATGATGTTCCAAAAGATGATGACATGATTGTCATTGAATAAGTGAGTAATTTCTTGATACTGTAGGATTCAGTTTGTCTGGTTTGTGTTGACAACTACTGTACTACCGTACTGTATACAGGTAATAAATTTCCTTTATTTTCATTTAACAATAAATGTGTATCGTATTCTTCTTCATGGAAAAATAAGACATCCCCTGAAAATAAGACCTAGTGCATCTTTGGGAGCAAAAATTAATATAAGACACTGTCTTATTTTCGGGGAAACAGGGTATGAGTTATCAACTCACACCACTCAGAATGGCTATCATCAATACATTACCAAAGAACAAGTGTTGGCAAGTTCATGAATTCAACCTGTTTTAAGCTGAAGTGGGATGAGTTTCTTTGCTTCCTGGTTGCTTACTTAATACCATTAACCATTAAACACTTCCTACCTCTCAATTCAAAACATGTAGAAAATGACAATTTTTTTTACTTTATTTCTAAGCATGTTTTATTCAACTATATACAGAAAATTTTACACTTGAAACTTTCATACATTCCTTGAGCCAAGTGCTTGTGCAAATTAATTTGTGCAACACATCAACTGTATTTGACTAAGGAAAGAAAGCTTTATAATTACCAACTGATTGGGAACATCTGATGGAGATTTTTCATTTTTATTGAATAAATAACTTTCACATGGATATATTCCACCCTCAATAAAAGTACCCCCATCAACCTTGCCTCCCGAACCACCACCTACCTGGGGGAAATTTTCTTTATGAGAATTAGACTGACCTTTGTCAATAGCTAATTACATGCAAGCACAGAACATCCCACCCCCACCCCCTACCCCCTCTGCCACCTAGGTGCCAGAAGCCACGCTGGGCTCTCAGGGGGCTATAGATTAGCGGGACAGCCAGGATTCCCTGCCAGGTCGTCTGGTGCGATCGTCCTGCCATGTACCACTCAGCATTTCCTTGAAAACTTCCAGAGATGAGCTAAAACTTACAGCCTCTGGTTTCGAGGAATTTAAACCCAAATGGTAAGGATTAGGAAAGCACAGATCTCTCTGCTTTGTAGGACTGACTGGGAATCCACACTCACAGTACAGTAAAAAACAGCTTGGCTGGGGAAAAAAAAAGGCTCTCTGCCTTTCCCTCCGCGCCCTCCTCCATCCAGGGAGCCGGCTGGAGAGGCGAAGGGCGCCCAGGCCGTGCAAAAGAGAGCGAAATCCAATCTGCCCGCGGGTGGGCCCCAGGAAAAGCGTCCTGGTGGAGGTGGCATCTGAGACAGGCCTCGAAGCACCGAGATACAGGAGCGTCCGCTGCAGAGGGAAGGACACTCCCTTGCTTGCTCAATAGTTAGTTTCACCTCGTGGCCCGCGCAACCAGCCAGGTTTGCAGAAGACACAGGGGTCCGGCCCGGGAGGCACTTCCGCTGTGCAGTTTGCAAAGCTGGAAGGATTGGGGAGCCAAGGGGGAGGAGGGATGTGCACCGCAGAGGTCCGGCTCGCGCACGTGGGCATCCTTGGCGCTGACTCTCTGCGGGAGGCACCCGCCCGCAAAAGGCTGCCGCATCCAAGGGGACCGTGGTGGCTACTGCTCCCCCCCAAATCCTGCACTGGGGAGACCCTGGTCCCGCCCCGCCCCCAGGAGGAGGCACCGCTCGGCCTGCGCTCGCAGACCGGGCACCTCCCCTCCCCTTCCTGCCCGCGGGGCCGGGGCGGGGCCCGGGCGGAGCGGCGGCGGGGCTCGGGCTGCGGCAGGTGTGGGTGGAGGCGGAGGCGGAGGCGGAGGTGCGGACCGTGCGCCCTCGCCCTCTTCGCCTCCGGAGGCCGGGATCGGGGGCCGGGACGCCCTCTCCCACCCCGGGATTCCCGCGAGCGGCTCCGACCGGCGCACACCTTGGGGCGCAGCGCGGGCGGCAGGTTGCACGGAAAGACGCGCGTTCCCGGCCGCAGCGCCCGCCCGCGCGGACCGATCCGGGAGCGGCGGCCGGCGGCTGCGGGGCTCGGAGGCCGGCGGGATGCGGCCGCTGCCCGGGCTCCGGAGCGAGGCCGAGCGGCGCTCCGCTCTCCGGCCGGACCCGCAGGTACGCGGGGAGGCGCGGGGCCGGGGCGCGTCCCTCCGGAGTTGGGAAGCGGCTCCGGGGCGCACAGCCGGGGGCGCGCGGGGCGCGGGCGGCGGAGCGGGGATGCCCGGGCTCGGCGGCCCGGGCTCCGCGCAGAACCACCTCTCCCTCCTCCAGCCCGGGGCGCTGCGGTTTCCCTGGCCCCATCTCCGATCCAGCCCCAGGTCCCCTCTCTTCCCCTGATCCCCCTGAAGGAGGAGCGGTGTGTCCGGTCGTGAGCGGATGGGACCAGCGCTCGCAATCACCCCCGTTGGATGAAAGCCCCTTTAGTCTATATGGCATCCCTGCCCCCGGCCCCCGCTTTCCCCTCTGGGAGGGAAGGGAAGTTCGGGCGGGTTTGTTACGCGCCCCTATAGTGGGGGTAGGATTTGTTTTCGCTCCAGGCAGGTGGGGGAATGATGCTCTGTGAGGTCCTGGGTGTTCCGGCCAGAGCTTCGCTTCAAATAGGAGCCTTTGATCCTGCAGCGAGACAATGGCAGGAGCGAGAGACAGCCCAAGGGGTGTCTCGGCGCCGCTTGGGCAGCGGAGAAGTTTGAGGGAAACTTAAGCGACCCCTTCGCGGGCTCCCCGCGGGCCCGCCTTTGTCTCCGCGGTGCGGGAACGGGGACCGGGAGTGACGGGCCGCCGGCCCCGCAGCACCCGGGCCGGCGCTGAGCCCGAGGCCAGGCGCCCGCTCCGCTCCGGACCTCTGGCTTCAGGGATCCGGCCTTTCTTTTTCCACCTTCCTGCACGGGATCCGTGACAGTTTTGAAATGGAATTAGGAAAAGGATCTTGTTTTGTCTCTCTGGAGTTTCTTAAGAACTTTCTTGCGTTAAAATGCTTCTCTCGTGGACAGAAATTGAAGCAATACTCTGTTTTATACTTGGTTTTAAAGAAATGTTGCTTGGATTGGTTTTTTTAAAAAAAATGATTTACAAATGACAAACTTAGGTATATTTGGTTAGGGAGTTTTGTGATTGTTTGGAGGAGGGACAGACTTTTAAGTTGTTGTTTTTTTGTTTGTTTTTTCCCCCCCAAATCTAATCCTGGTTATTTCTCATTGTCTCCAGACTTTAATCCCTAAGTGAAGGCCTTTATCTTGATTTTTAAGAGACAAATATAAAAATAACAGTGGTTTAAGTATCCCCTTTTCCTCTTTAACTTGTAACAGCCTTATGAAAATACTTATGATGTAAAACACATCTTAAGTTGAATTTTAAGCACTCCCTCCCCTATTTTTATTCATCTTCATAGGTTTATCAGATTTATGGAATTATCAGCTTGTGGTGTTTGTTGTTTGTGCATGTTCAGGCCTTACTGTAATGTGGGTATTTCGTACATGTTAGGTGAACGTGTGGAGAAGTCAAGTAGCTCTTTTAAAAAGGACAGAGTGAAACTTCTCCGGGTGAAATTCTACCGTCCTGAAAAGGTGTGGATCACAGATACCGCCCTTGACTGATACCATGGATTGTTGGCTGTTTCTGAAGTTTAAAAGAGATGACTAAGAATGAGGGATAAAGTGGTTTCTTCTTGAGCCTTGTGTTTTTTGGTTTTTTTTAGTGCAGTGGAAAGAAAAGTTAAGGCTATCATGTTTGCACAATGTAATAATAACTAGGTAGTTATTCTTGAAGCTATGAAAATGCTTGAGTAAGTAAAATAAAAAGGTAGCATAAAATTACACATTATACAAAGTGTGGCAAAAGTAGGCTTCTAGTTGTATATATGGGAAATAATACAATAATCAGTAAATAACAATACCAGAATAAACTCTGCGTTTCCTGTACTCGCAACTGTGAACCTACATTTGCCACACCTTCTACTTTCAGAAGTTTAAGGAGAATGCACACTTGTAAGTTTCACATTCTCAAGTAAACAGTGTTAACTTGCGTGAAATAGAAGAATTTCTTTTGCATATGATGTTTTATCAAATTAAGAAATATATTTATCTTGATTTGCCTTAAAATTGAAGTTGAAGTTAATTTTTTTAATGGCTGTATGGGACAATGCAGAACATTTTTAAGTCATTTACTTTAATGATTCTTTTCTTTGTTAGTAGGTTTATAAGATGTCTTTTGCTTGAAACATTGACATTTAATGACAGTAGGAGTCATTAACTTTTTAATAAAATTGCCAGTTTTTCTTTGTTTAATTTTTCTGAGTAGTTTCAACATATTAACACTCTTAAACAAATTTAAACTATAAAAAAGCAGTAGATTAAATCCCTGATTATTAGCATTTCAGGGATATCTACCTTTTAAGTCAAAATGTCTTGTGAAGACATTTTTGAATACATGTAATGGTATGATTCTTAAAGAGTAATTTTTTATGGTTATTTTCCAGTTTTTTTGAACCATAAAGTAAATTAACAAAAGAATCAATTATTATGTTTTAACAGTTTCTCGATATATTTAACAGACTGTTTCCTTAGAAGTAATCTCTCAAGTGTTTTAAAATGTATAGGAGTGAGAAAGTTTATTTTCTATTAAAACATATTCCTATAGACTAGAAAGAAAAAAGTTGTTGAATCTAGGATATATCAACCTTAAATAAGAAACAGTGAAATTTGATATTTGTATTGTAAAATATATTTTCACTGAAGCTTTTTAACTGTCCTTTTTAAAAAAAAAAAAACACACACACATAAATGTATAACAAGTAAATCAGTTATTTCATTTGATTTAATATAAGTATCCTAATGTGCCTGTTTTATTAATGGATATTGACACTTCCCACTCACCATATTTTATGTGAGAAGTCCAGAAAATTATCAAAATAATTTTGAAGAGAATTGAGATGAAGCGGGGGGAAATCCAAGCATGATTATGGTATCTGCGTGCTTTGGTTTGCAGCAGGGAAAGGAAGAAAAACAAGTTTGGGATCAGAATCTATCTATATTAATCAGATTTCCTAGCTCTTTCTACTTTATTGTATAATTGACATTTTAGCCAGTATGTACTTAAGTGTATTAAAATATAGCAGACTTGAGGGGAAAATCCTGTTGTAAAATTCTTAATCATGACTTTATCAAACATACAACCTACTATATATTGTTTAAATACCATCTTCCAGGCTGTTCAACATTTGAGCCCAATTCATAAATGAAATGTGTTATAAAAGTCAGCTAAATAAGTGATTTTCAGAGAGTGCCTCTTTTGAGGGACTATTTCTTTAACATCCCAGATTGCACCAATCATTTGAGTAAAATAAGAACGGTTGTATTAATTACAAATTGCACTTTTAGCAAAAGGAAAAATGCCTATTTTATTGGCCTCGGGGACATGTATGCTAAGTAGTGTGGGGCCTGGCTTCCATTTCTGTATCTGTGCCACTTCTGACAAAGGATCGGGTCCTGAGATGAAAGGCCGAGGAGAAAACTAATAAAATGAGCTCCGTGGGTTGATCAGAGCTCTTCCCAGTCAGCCTGGATTCAGGACCAGAAGAGAAGTTCTGGGAGTCGGATTCCCCTCAGCCCTTCTACCCTGGTTCCAGCGAGTTAGTGCTGGCAGGAGGAAAGCGGTGTCTCTGCCATCTGCAAAGCCCACTTCACGATCCACAGCAAACCAAACCCATGAAGCCTTTTAGTCTTGTCCAACTCGGCGCCACTTCCTGGCCAGGGGCACCGCAGCTGAAGTTAAAAGGCTCAGACCCAAATGGGAAAATGAGTGCCATTTGTGTAGAGGCAGTAGCCTTCTTCAAACTGCTTTCAACCTAATTGGGGGAAGAAAAAAAAAAAGATAGAATATGATTTGATTACAAGTCCTCCAGGGTGGGTAGCATTCAAGAGACTGCAGCTCAGAAGTGTGTTTAGGGTATTCACTTAGTTTTCGAATTACTTAGAGTTTGTATTGTAGTTCTCTTGTTCGTGTGTGTGTGTGTGTGTGTGTGTGTGTGTGTGTGTGTTTTCAGCCTCTACAATTTGGAAGAGGCAAAAAGTACAGTACAATGGTAAATTTTAAAGGGATGGAGATGCTATAGCCTCGGTCACATAAGAGTTCTTCCATTGCTGCTGAGGTAGCAGTCATTTTTCTCTGTTGGGTTTTGTCCCTTGTTGTCCCTTGTAATTGTACATCTAAGTTCTTTGCTCAGAATACTCCTGATTCTGGAAATAGCAGGAAAGGGAATGATCTAGGTCTAGAAACAATGACAGTCAGTGTTTTAAGTTATCTCTGTCAAGTTGGGTGGACTTTGGCCACATTAGTAAACTGGATATGTATAAAAGAAGATGAAAATATCAACTCAGAAGGGCCTGCTCCAGACACTTGTGGTATGCGTGCTCTTCTCACTGACCTAAAGGTGGCATGTAATGACCAATCAAGACCAACATTATTGTACATTTGAGGTGAAACTATTTTGGAGAGTCCAAAGGTTTGATGCAAGCAAAGGCTTGGTCTCCCAAAAAGTCAAATAAGTAAGATCTAGACCACCTGAGAATTTATTTTTTTTTTTTTAGTTCCAGGATATGTTTAAGTGGAAATTCAAGTCATAACGTCATTGTTGAATAACTCTACAGGGTTCCGGTAATTTTTCCCTCTTCCAACCCGATCTTTTGCCTACAATCGCAACTTCATTAGCTTCATTTTAAAAAGTCTCACAGGAGCAACCGTAAGACTAGAGCAATAAAAGAGTGAGCTCTTTGTGGTAAAATCCACATCTCGTGAGTGAAGTCTTTGGAATGAGCGTTTAACTGGCTTTTCACTAGATCTGGTTCTCAAGTAAACTAGCCGGTAATGTTGCCGCTTGACACTTCCTTTTCACATTCTGTGCCATGATTCAAAACTGATATCTTTTTTATGAGCAAGAGTGGAACGATATGAAGTTGAGGAACAAGACAAACAGTATGCGCTTTATAGCTTGTCTTTAATAGTTTAATAGTTTGACTTGCCAGCACCCAAATAATGATAAGATTCTATAATAGTTTGCTTTATTATTTCTTTTTGGTTTTGGAATTGGGGTTAGAATGCTTTTTAAATGGAAAGAATAA